TCGAAAATCGTGCCAACTGAAACATGAGGCGGCTTGTGTGCAGCACATTCAGTTGTAGAATATCACAAACGAGAGATTCAGTTGAATCTCTCATGAAAACCAAATTGATTTGCAAATGGGTGTATTTCTGCAAATCTATCCAAATGCTTTTATTGCTTACGCTAGGACTGTCGCAAAGTGAAGACAGTCTGATCGATGTACCTGAATGCTTTATGCACTGGAAATCACGTCTTCTTATTGTCATTCCTTATGGTTCTACATCCACAAACTTTCGCACGGTAGTCGACTCAGCCTCTGTCCATCGTGATTTTGTCTCAATATTTAACTATAAGCTATCTTTGTAAAGTACTACTCAAGGTTGCTGAAAATCCAAATCCAATCGAAAAATCAAATTAGTTTGCAAATGAGTGTATATACGCTACGTTTAAGCTAGTTTTTCTTATTCGGGCCAAGAAATACATAAGATTCGTTGTTTTCTAGGCTTTACAATGATAATTTTACCTTTTGTCAAGGATCTTGAGACAAAAACAGCTTTGTTGTTTACGACAAATTTTGATATCGATGCTCCGAAATTAGCTTCCACATCCACTTTGTGGAACTCGTAAGGAGCTTCTAAATGGTTTATTTCATCCTGATATGTTTTCGCAATGAGTGGCTATGATACCGTTTAATAAAAAAATCAATAAGCATCTGAAAAGTGGTTTTCCTCGGTGTCGTAATATTAAGGTATTTGGAGACAAAGCCTACTACCTGTTCGTTGCATTTATAGATTTGCGTCATTCACAAAGCTGGTTGTCCATCTTCCTTAGGTCTACAAGCTCAAGAAACCGCTCTTTCGTTGTGAATTGNAGTACGCTCAACTAGAGATCATGTCTAAGATGAAAGGTATTCGTGTGATACGAAATGTCATCCACAAACTGCTGTACACCCTAAATTGATTGGTCTGGTTTCTCGTGAGTTCAATCAACCTGCTTGTCAGCTTTTCTTTAAAAAAAACAGGAAGCTGTCAGTGTTGACAGACAGCATGTATGGCCATCGCAGGTCTGATTGCCAATCACCAATTACTATGAACTACAGCGCACAGTATCAGACCTCTCGTTTCGTCAGATGTGTTTCCAAACCAAGCAGCAACGAGACCGATCAATGTCTTTCTTCTCTAGTGATTAGTATTTTTGAGGTCACCTGAAGGGTGTGCTGCCAGTCTCTGAGGCCAGAATCCAGCGCGTCTGTATGAGTTCGCATTCTGTGAATTAATTCCGAACAAGATTATGTAATCCACTCGGAAACCCTGTCGACGAGCACCGAAGACGATCGTTAAGACAGCATGTGTGGCACTTTACTTGCGGGTGCTGGATGGTGAATGCCGTCGTGATGGACTGGACGAAAATTGTATCCGAAATGGTGGAAACACAGGTATATCAAACAAACAATCACGTGTTTGAGTTCATGGCTATGTGCGGGTCTGACAAATTCAATAATATATCTGTTATTTCTGAGCCATGTGGGCTATATTCTGTTTACTAAAATTTCCCAAAAAGAGTCGAGTGCGAACATTCGCACTTATCCGCTGCTGCACTTCATTGGCCCACTTCATTTTTACTGATGCTTGCTTCAGTCTGCCAACCAAACCGACTAACCTGTACGGACGTGCTTACGGTGTACGGTGAAAGGAAGAAGGCCTTCGCCGCGGAGTTAATTATTTAAAAAAATGCCAATGACCAGCTACAGACTATTGGACAGGAAGGCAAAACTCTCATATGCATCTTAATTACAAAAACTGAACATCCATCTTCTGTTGAACGCGTCTTCCTGAACTTTCCTGGATGTTCATTGAGTGTTGCTTAAGTCCAAGCAAATGCTACAAAGCAACTCCACAAATCCGCAATAGATCTCCCTTTTCAAGCGAATTTACAAGAAAACATACTGCTCACATGCCTCCCCCATCAGTAGTGTCACCGTTACACGGGTACCCAATGATCCGTTTCTTACATGTCGGACATTTCTCAGATTTTCTGGTTGCTCTTGAAAGTCAGAGGATACTCTGACAGCCAAACACCGAAACCCCAGCGCCAATATTTCACCCTTATCTGCTGAACATTTCTCAGTATCAGATAGTCCGATGGATCGGCTTCTGTGAGTAACCAGATGTTTTCGAAACGAAGGTAGCCTGAGGATGCCATTGTTGGCATGGCAATGTCGCGTCAACACTTCTTGTTTGTGTCTGTTCCGACAGGGAAGTGGGTCAACCGGGGGTCGAACTACGAAGCCCTCGAATGAGAGACGACCTCCCTGATCGCCCATTTTTTGCAGCGCATCGTACCCGTTGGTCTTTGTTGAGATTTTATTTTAAGTGGACCTGAGGGCGCAGTCTGGTTAGACTAGGTCCCAACTTTATGGCCGTTGTCGAGTTAGACTTATCTGAAACCTTGAAGTTGTCATATCTATACGGCAAATTGAATGGTGAGATAGATTACGGTCTACTTGGATGTAGGGGTTACATTCAGGCCATCTCGGGCAACTAAAACAACCGTCATCATCATTGTCAGTTGTAATAACCGCGTACTCGTCGTAAAGTGGTTGTAGATGCCGCAGTTTCGTTCACCGATAATTTGGGGGGGGGGGTAGGTAGCTGCGAATTGCAAACGGGAGATGATAAATTGGTGCATAAATCCAGCACTGTTAGTGTACTGTCAAGTGGGGGATTGGAAAAGGAGCTATACATTGAAGGCAATAGCTTGGATGCACGAGCGCCATTGAGGGCGCGACTGAGCCATGTCTGACAATGTCCCTAGCCATTGATGTGGCCCGTCTCGGGGTCCCCATCCAGGAAGACGGCAGTTACCAGCGCAGCTGAGTTTGCTGGTAATGGATTTCACACTTCGCTGCCAAGTCATTGTTTGACCGCTTCTGGCTCTCTTCCGCCCTTCATGTGGTTGTGCGAAAAGAGCCCTTCGAGGAAATCGGTCGACGAGCGTACGCAGCACACCGCCAACCCAGCGCAACCTATGCAGTGTGATCAGTTCATCTATCGAGGGTGAGTTGTTTCTTCCGAATACTATTCGACGTACTTCAGAATTGCTGGTCCAGTGTTCCCACCAGATTCGGGCAATGCTCTGAAAACTTGCACGACCGATCCCTCATGCCAAGTGTGCAAACTGATCTCAGATATTTAAGAAATCAGCGCGAGGAAAATCGTTTTCTTGTAAAACAGCTTCTTTCCGGTTGAAAACACGGTATACCAAACTGATTAACTTTTGAGCGAAATCGTACTCATGGTTTGTATGTTTGCCTCAAACTCCTACGGGAGTAGTTTGAGGTGGAAGTTGCCTTGCATGGCTTTCGGAGTTGTGTAAATTATTCAGTCCGTACTAGGACTGGATACCCTAGTTGATGCGAGCACGCCAGACTATTTTTCCGGGATGGATTATCCTGGTTGGGATGCTTCTGTGAGGCCTTATTGTAAAAAAATTCGAGAAATGAACCACTCTACGAGTACATCATACCCCAAACGTTTACCAGGCGGCCGGAAGTTGCAACAAACTTTATTTCTGCTCTGGTACCATCTGGTTGTGCTGAATGCAACCCGCCTAACAGATCTGGCAAGCAGTGCCTCCAGCCATGCGAATACACGTAGGGTGAAGAGAATTCCTACGGCCAGTGAGACATTGGACAGAGCTACTTCTTTCGAACGCATTTTCAGGCCGTGGAGAGTTGAACAGAACTAACTTTCAGTAGAGGCTAGCCGCTTAGGATGATTAATTAAACAACGTCGGTACTACCGCGGTCTTGGTCACCCGGCTACTTCGTGTGCTTCACACATGTAATGAAATTGCCATGCGAAAAGCCGATCTGTTCATTAGTGGAAAGGACTGTTCGCAGAATCTGTCGCCATCTTCCTCAGGAAAAGTTTATCAGCAAGTTTTCACAGACTTTTCAACAGACGACAGAACCGTTATAGGCGGTTGCATTTGCTTGACGAAATGGTGAGTTCGAACGCCGATACCCATCAGCACCGTGAATCCTGGATGTACGCAAGAGCCGACTCCCCGTACTTCACCCCGCTAATCTTCGGGACAAATTCTTCACGCAAATGGTTTTGATGAAGCCTCCACCGGACGGCGCTCCAGCCCTCCTGAACCCAAATAATGTCACTACCCAACCTTAAATACAATACCCGAAGTCGTATCAAACTCGAGTGTTGGCTTTGTACCCCCTGTTCGTAAGGTTTGTTGCAATAGTTCGACTTTCTTTGCATTCGTATTGACTTTAAAGCGAGCAGCCTCAATTCGTGAATTGGCATGCCCGTTTTGCAGCTGTACTGCAACAGCCAAGGCACCCTTTTCCGTGGAATCGGGAGCCCATTTCGTATTCACAAAGCGAACAGACTGGGACACTCACCTTATGGTTGTGAAATCCAACCACTATACTATTGTCTTCAGAGCATTGCAGGAGTGAGTTGATGTCAATAAGTTCACAAAGAAGTCGTGCGTAAGCGAGTACTATGTGGTAGATTGATTTAGTTAGACTATCATAGACGGGTAACGTACCAAGCAGCCGCAAAGGGAACGCTGTGCAACAAATCTTCGGGCGTGGGAAAAGTTGTGACATGGCAACCCAAAATAATAGCACGTCCCGTAAACTGTGGCGAGACCTGCTTACATTTCAGATTGGATTCGCGCAATTTTTATGCAGGTCTCTGGGGACGCCAGACTCAGCACAGAATAGGACCCAATGATGAGAAAACGGAGTGTCTAGATGAAGTTTGCCAATCGCTACGCCGGGCTTACGTTATGCACAGTTTGCGGAAATGCAAGGCCGGTCCTGCCATTGGCATCCTATAACGCCCGGATGTGTTGCTTACCGGTTTAGACTACTCGTTCTTGATCGTTTCTCCTAGACCCGTAGGATGCCCTTAAAAAGGGTATCATTTTCTAATACCACGCTACATATAAAATTGATGCAAACTCCTGGACAGCTTACTACCAGTTTCGCCTATGTGGAGGCTCATTAGGTAGTCCTAGTCCCCGAATCCCCTTCAATCATATTTTAGGTTCGAGGACAGAATTAGAGGTATCTGCAAATAAACACTCATTCAAAATAAGGGTGGTGGTATACGGAGACTGAGCTGAATCCATCGTTTATAATATTCCTCTAAATTACAGACACTGTCATACATATAGTTACTTCGATTTCTTGAATATCATTCAGATCGAAACACTAAACGTCCTTTGTGCAGCACAGTTGGAGAATATCAGGTGAGTCCTACGTCAGCACGAACTTCATTTGCAAATAAACGTTTGTCGACAAGCTCTCACTCTTTTCTGTCCGCTCCATTGAAGACTTCTCTCATTCGCCATTTTCTTACGGTTAGGTTATAGTATCCAGACTGACGTTCATCCCCCAGAAGGCATGACACCACCGTGAAGGGGCATTTCAGCCTCCCCGTAGGGTGAACATCTTTCAAATTTGATGTATAGAAGGATCAGCACCTCTTTGAGGGACCGCATCCGACAGCTGTTCATGATGCTAACAATCGGCTTATTAGCCGTTGACCACATTGCTTTCGGGAACAGTACTGAAGCGGGTCAGCAAGAAGCTAAATGCCCTGTTCCAGGTAATGCCACCTTTCCGGACTGCATGGTCCAGTGCGTTAGAATTCACCCTAAAATGTCTAACAACCATAATCAGATTCGGGAATCGGAATAGCAAAGTTACGGTCCAATGCGAGAGCTCATTCGCACAAGAGATATGATGCGAATATAGCCGACCGATGCAGGTCGAACCAGTTTCACGAAGTTATAACCTGACAACTGGACCAGTACTACCATATAAAGCTGTGAATAGATTGGACATGCTAGGAAATTTGTAATTTTTTGAAACCGCGTTTGTCGTCAGAATACCTCGCTAATGACAGTTTGCTCCTCGCGAAGCTTGAGTAGCTGCATCAAATCAAACACAGCACCGTTTCATTATCCCCCCTCTAGCTACCTCACCAGAACAAACGCGTTGTGTATAAGCTGCCACACATGCCACATGAAACACCTGTGTATGTTACGATTCTATCTGAAGTCGACCCACGCGTAATAATAATAATTATTATTATTAATAATACATAATAATGGTGACTCCACCTTAATGCATAGCTGCCATGTACCATACATCCCACGGTATCATAGCTAGCGCGTACCGAGAAAGGTGGTGTCTCCAGCCCCAGACGTATTTCTCCGTCCTGACAAGGATGATTTGCTCGAGGTTATTAAAAAGAATTCTTTACAACCGAACAGGCTTGTAGTGGTGGTCGCACTCGACACAATCTGAGTGTCAGTTAGAAAGCAGCTAAAACTCGTTGTCCGTTATTTGTGTGTCCCAATTTGGTAGCCAAACTTTGAAACACGCAAGACACGAACCTCAGACTAGACGTGTTTCCGTATGCTTTGACGAGATCACCTTATCCTGCCTAAACGCTCAAAGGGGCGTTGGGGAGGGATATTTACTATCCGGAAAGCGCATCATACTTCCGTATAGCTGTACATTTGGCCTTGAAAAGTGGGCCTTGAGCAATGTGTCCAGGTATTGTTAACAACAAATAACAAGATAACATTATCATAGTCATTTTTTCTATTTGATCTGTCACCAACAAAACTTCCAGGAAAATCATAAACAATGAGAGTATTGGCACAAATTGCACTGACTTGATTTCAAATTCGTTTACAAAATGATGTTCTGTCGAAGATATATTACAGCTCATTCAGCTTTCTGTGAATGCTATCCAAACCTTTGAAGTAGCGCACAGTCTTCACTCGTAACTCTAAAGTGGCATCCTCGTCAACAACAAAAATAGCCTTTGGGTGATGCTAAAGAACAAAACAGGGACAATTCAGTGTAAAAAACCGATGGACAAAACGAATAACTGTTCAGGAAACAATACGTAAAATTTGAAAACCCTAGTCTATCTTTTGCGACTACGGGATACTTCTCAGTTAGAACGAGAAATCACAAAGACGGGGAACCCATTCTGATCGATGAGATAACCCTGTTACGCGATCTAGCTTTGAAAGACATAGTGTAGCGACTAACACAACATAACTCCAAGGTATTTGAACCCTGTTGATAAAACATTCGGGCTCTGTTACATTTGCGCCACGAATGACTATACGATGAAGGCAGTGCCATCTTAAGAAGTACCGCTGACGACATAAGCATTTAGGGGACACCTATAAGAATTTGCAAGATGCACGGAAGGTGCACATAACAAGAATGGAACTCAGTTGAAAGGCGACTTCTAGGATTGCTTCACAAACTAGCCTATTTCTAAGGTATTACAGAGTCACGCCTCCACCCAGTTTCCCCAAAGACGTCCGTTTGCATGATTGAGCTACCCCGTGACCGAAAAATAGAAACTGTATCAAAGGTTCGCCGGTAAATTCGAAAACGGTAGTACCATGGACGATTGTTTGTATGTATGTAAACTGAGGATAAGGCCAAACTCCATTTGATTCTCCTTCTCATCGTTCTCTCACGCTAGCTACCTGTTGTAAGTCAGATCGGGTCGATCCGGTCAACGAAACCACGAAACAGAAAGTGATATGGAGAAGGGATACCTTTTACTGCATAACATTCAAGATCCCGATATTAGTTGGTCGAGTATTGTCCCTATAAAGAGCGAACGTTCACGCAGCGAAAAATTTCACAGCCGTTCCATCCTTATCGACGTGATTTTGTGGAAACCCCAAGGGTCGAAATCCCTCCATGGTGAGAAGTTTGTAAAATTCCCGACAACCCCAAATGCTTCTCATGAATTGTATGAAGTATGTTCAGAGACTACGATACGAAGCATGACTTTTCACTTTGAAGGCACAAGGCGAGTGTCAAAATATGGTGTGATGACAGTTAATTTATTCGACAGGGCTTGTGCTCCGCCTTTGTCTTCAAAGATGAAGGCAATGTTGTATGCGTATTCCAGATCTACAAGGTTCTCATCAATAACGACTAGCACGACAGGGTTTTGAAGATTCTTCAAAGATCACGTCATCATTCCATCAACGGCGAAGTTGAATAACAACGGAGAGAGTGGACATCCTTGTGGATCACCGCGTTTTGTAGAGAAGCTTTTGGAGAGGTCTCCATGCACCCTCACAGGCTGAGAAGACCGAATTATGTCCACAAAGTTCTGTGGCATACTCAAATGAGAAAGTGTGCTTAAGGCATTGACCGATCAACAGGATCCAACGCACCCTTGAAGTCCAGAAACACCAGGATGGTGGGTCGACTGTCAATGTGGCGTCGCTCTAACACCTGAATGATTACAAAGATACGGTTCACCCAGGATCTAGCCGATCGAAATCCCGTTTAATGCTCATAGGACTCGCGTACCGTTGTTAGACGACGAAGAAACCTTATTACAACGGAAGTCAGATTGCTACCCCTGTGGTTACCAGATTCAGTGCGAGTACCTTTTTTTAAAAAAATGGTGCTACTTGCAACTCTAATTAGTTGTCTGAGACGGCCCCTTTCTCTCAGATGGACCCTAGTGGGCTAGACAGGCGCGGGCTGAAAAATTCACCATCCTTGGAGAGAGCAGGTGGAAGGTCGTCAGGACCGGAAGCACGATGACACTCAAGTAGACATATACACTCGGACACTCTGAGGTTGAAGGCGGCTCCATATTCACAGTCCACCTTTCTCCTGAGGGCCAGGATTCCTGATTGTAGGTAGCAGGTGGCCAACTGAATTGTTATTCGAAATATTGTGCCCAGAGACCCAAACATTCTGCTTTGCTGGATATTAGGAAGGTGACAAGAGGCTTCCAAGGGCTAGTCACACTGCAACATCCTGTGGACGTTTCAGGCATTTTTGCCTCTTCCATTTCCTTTCATCGCACCTTTTTGTGTTCACCAAGCATCTCAGTCTGCACGGACGCCAGATTTCACCTGGTGTTGGATGTGTCGGATGGAGTTGTAGTTGCGGCAGAACGCATGTATCGCCAGAAGCGGCGGTCGTAACAGAGATCTGATATTTGGATGACGTTTGGTTGGATTGTACCGCAAACGGAGTAGCGCTTTGGATATTAACATCCGAGATTGGACCATCTGGCAAGCTTTAGAAAAGCCGATTTTGACAGGTTCGCTTGTTTTCCAGATCTATTAGCTTTTCAATGGCTAAGTGAAATGAGCGTGCTTTGTGTAGACTAAAAAAATCTCAGTGAAAAACAGTAGCGCACAAGTACATGGTCGGATTCCAAGCTGGTATTCCGGGACAGGCCGGCGGTGGTCAAGCTTCGTCACCAATAATCAATGGCGGAAATGGTCTACTTGAATTCATGACTGACTCGTTGGTGGGCACCACATGGTCAAGGGTTTCCCTCTTCAGAAAATTGGAACTGCAAAGGAACACCGCATCGGCATACCTCTGAGGCAGGCGCTCTCCGTCATCCGTGCGTCTCGTATCCAACCCAAGACAACCACTTGATTGAGCCGTAGCAGCGCTTAGTCTACTAACCTGAGCGTTTATATCAATAACAACCACAACGATAACTGAGCCTTCAGACCGTCATAAAAGAGCATCCATAGCCTCTTGGAAACTATCTTTAGCAGATACAGTCCTTTGGGTCGTAAACGGACACAATAAACAGGGTGTGATGGACCTCGCTTTCTCGAGATTCTTCCACAGACGTTACCAAACGAATCGCGCAGCTTCTTGTAACTCACCATCAACGTTGAAGACAGCTGCTGCGGTACTGTGCAAATCTCTGAGGGCAGTTCCTTATTTGTCAAATGCTTCAATGTTGAACAAACGTCCCTACATTACACTCCGATTAATTTAGATCTAAGTGGAGGGATATCAAGAATAATATATAACTTGCTGGCAAGCGGGAATCTGGAATACGCTGAAATTGATTAGCACGCTCACTCGAGAGACGGGTCTATTTAATTGTACGCTCGTTGCCGCTTTTGCGTAACCTGCAATGGATTATATAAGGAAAAATCGGTAGTACCTTAGAGAGGGTCTGCTACTCTTCGATGTGCCCTCTCTATATAGTTAGCAATAACCCGCGCCAAGAAGACGAAACGGAATCAGCAATACAAACTAGAGAGTTAATATGTCCAACGAAACATACCTGGAAAGCAGAAACAGTCCACATGTGATTCACGCCTTCCTCAATGGCTTTGCTTAATGCCAGTGCTTTTGAAGTTCCGGTTACAATGATCATGACCTCATCTGCATCCATCACTGTACCGACTCCTACAGTTAGAGCGCGTGCAGGGACCTGAGGGTGAGAGATTTATGGTTCACACAAACTGACGTAAAAGGAGTCAGAAGCAACTGGCGAGAGGATAATAGAATCGTTTTAACGCCAAACGCACAATATGAGCCAGTTACGGGGTTCAACATTCTTAGAAGCTCAGTTTCTGAACGACACCTCAGAACCAAGCGAAATTCCACAGATTCTTTTTAAATAAACTTTATGCAGGCCACCAGTGTCTGGATCTGGAAAACCAGCGCGAAGGAAGATGTGCGCCACTTGATTCAAGACCCATTTACGTTGCTCAGTAACTCAAATCTACAGAGTAAGCATTGTTCGCTCAGTAGGCCACATTTCGCGGGTGTGGACGCGGGACATCTTTAAGTCAAGTTTTTTTGCCTTTTTACATCCCAACAGTGAAAATGACTTCCATTTGTATGACGCTTTAGTCGGCTGGTGCAGATCCAGCCGCCTAGCTTATTCGCCAGGGCACTGAATATGCTGCCGCACGGCTATTGCACTACCAAATGATCAGAATCCCTGTGACCTATATGCAGAATCCCTTGCAAAACATAGAGCCCCATCGAAACTGTTACAACGTAAGCATTCGCCTGTTTTTGGCTTTTTAATATGTCAGGAAAAGTAATCATGACTTCCTGAAACACTTCGATAGAAAATGCTTGATAATTAAAACAATTAGTGAATGTGAGAACCGAAAGTGAACACAGAGAGAGCACCTTGATGTTATGCCGTAAGCGTTAAGGTTAAATTACCGAACTAGACCTTCATCTTTGATGGGAAACAAGTGAGGGTGTTATTACATACCGTGATGTCCATCCAGAATATACACCTTTGAATTAATCAAGTTTAATCCCGTTAAAGTGGCTAACGTGCTCGAGGTAGCTCAGTGGTTAAAGGCGAACTTACTAATCGGAATGTCGATACTTCGACCCAACGTCTGCATCTGGCCTGCTCCTGCCTAGACTTGGATAACCTGAGCATTACAAAGCCACGTGCTTCCTTCGGGTGGCATGACAGCCATGCGCCGAAATTCACAGCTCAACAGTTATTTTCTGAGGATCAAGAAACAGATTTTCGCAAGGGGGTGTTTTGTTCGCAGTGGCTACCTTGCGGCAAAGCGTTAGCAGGAATAAATATACCGAGAGCTAGATATAAAACTATATATACATAAAGCCATAAAAAGTTCCTGAAGCAGGAATCGTGTGCTAGAAAGAATAAAATATAGGCTATCAGACCGGAATCAGTGTACGCTTAAAAGGCCGCTCACATTTCTGTTATTCGTTTGCGCGAGAGACCAACGGTTCTCTTGACCCAAGCCGATTTCTGAAAGCAAGTCAGGACGTTAATCGGCGGACTAGCTACTGGTTCCAGTTTGCAGTCACCGCACGATTTATGACAACGCATTGTCCATGCTTGTGAAAGGAATAGCGCTAAACAATCTGGTGACCATATGGACTTCAGTGAAACACAAGCGCAACTGCCAGCTATTTTTCAGGGTCGAGTTTAACTACTATATAACGATAAGTAGCATGCTTTCCCATAAAACGCGCCACCACGGACTGAACGCCCTTCTCGCCGCCGTCATCGAACACGAGTCGTTCGCTAGCCTTGACGTGGAATTAAAGGCCTATACGAAAAACTCCCATGCACCCACATTTAACCTCACAAATATGGACTATACGGGTGCCATCAAACATCAATGAGGCAGATAGCATCTGCGGACAACTTTTCTTCATGCATAATAGACAAAAACGTGCCATTTTCTTAGCCAGAAGATTCGGGTCCATCACAAAAATATCCATAACTCTCCTCTATAAAGCGGTTCATTACAGGGAATTCTTCATGACTTATGAATAAGGCACAATGTGTCCGGGACTAACTGCTGTCACAGAACAGATTACAACATAAGCAGATATTTTCGATCGACCGGACTACTTGTCATTGGGATGACAAGTGTACCCCAATGCCTGAAGGAAGGAAACCAAAATCGAGTGCTATTAAAAGAACCTACTTGGGTAAGGTCATTATCAAAGAACCGAGCGTTAGCAACGATTGTCTCTTTCGCAAGTGTTTTCAGTCTCGTTCTGGAGACTAGACTGGAACCGGGTTCGTTGAAGGCAATGTGCCCGTCAGGTCCGATACCTCCAATGAACAAATGGACGCCTCCTGCAAGCTTGATTTCTTCCTCGAACCGCGAGCATTCAGCTTCTAAATCTGAAGCATTCCCGTCCAATATGTGCGCATTTTCAGGGAGTATATCGATGTGCTATGAGAACAGAACGAAGAGAAACAGTGAGAGTTTACGCGGTAAGTGCTATTAATCGGCTTATCTAGGCAACGACACCAACCTACTCAAGTGTGAGATAGACGAAGGAATGTGTATTATACGAAAAAGGAAATCCTCACCCTCGAGCATAACGGCAAACACTAATGGGATGATTCATTTTGGTCTATCTCGTTGACTTCCAGCTGCGATTCATGTGAGACGGCGACCGACCCTTCAGTATCCACAGAAATCACCCTAAAAGTCTTTTCGGCGACCACATATACTGCGAAAACCATGACGAAGCTGTGTGCTCGTAATCAGCGTGTAGGGCAGAATCAGCTCTCAAAGCACTGACGGCAAATCTTACGCAGAAATCGGATCAATCTGACAGCTATTGCACTCACCGGCCGCCCACACGAGTATCACTGTTTGGGAGAGTATTCGCGGGTAGTAATGCAAACAGACAGTGTGAAGGCGTACACAAAACGCCATGGGTATTCGATCGTACTGACTTGAATACGTCCGACACACAGTTGTCAGGGCTAAAAAACTCGCCAGTCAACTTAATCCTCTTACACCGTGCGCAAATCTCCCATCCCATTCCGAAAGATACGTGGGCAATTTTTCGCCGTTAAGATTAGACCCAAATTTTGTTTCCCCCACTAAGTCAAGACTAAAAAAGAACGCTTCGAGGATCTTGGCGTTTGCGTACGAATGAACAATGATAGATGAATCCGAGTACCTTAGCAAAATAAAGAACATCCTGTCGGGAATGGTTGAATTAAAAAACGGTGACAGATGGAGATAAAAAAGCGATGAAAAACAGCACCCCGAGTATTGCGATGGCTTAAGCAACCAAGAGCTATGGATGCCAATGCTTTTGAAGGTGTTTGACCGGCCGGCAAAACAATACCCAAGCAGTACAGTCTTCCTAAGATGAGCATACTCGGCTCATCTTTCAGAACCAAGTTTGACATGTACAATTCTCCTTATCGTCAATTGGCCAAATGTGCTAGCTAGTCTATTAGAGCCAACCTGGAGAGAAGTATCGACTTGCAGTTTGAAAGATAAGCTACAGTTCGCTAAGCAGATCAAGGACACAAAGCTTGATAGCCCTCTCTCTAAGCGGTGTGTGCCTATCGGTGAGACAACAGACTATGTATGCGAACCTATTGAGTACACTGACAAGGATGTTGACATTCCCATCCCAGAACCAACAGAACTACTAGGTTTCATTTGAAAAACAGACCACCATGCTTCGCCACCAGTATCTGTGTGTATGTTCGTGTTTGCCTTAGGACAACGTGGTTGTCAGAGAGAAACAACACCATCCGAGTATCCCTGAATGGTGGCTGGAGGAGCCCTACTTCAGGTGGAATTGCGCCACATCTGACCGGAGCCGGTTATCATAGACAAGGAGTACGCCTTCCATGACAACTACCGAATGCCCCTGAACTGATTAAGATTGGCGAGATTCATGTCACGCGCTGATGTCGGATCGCCTGGCGACGAAACGTTTTGGTAAGTAATTTGTGAAGCTGGGTGAATAGGCCACTTGATCAACCAGTAATAAGCGCACCCAAGCCACAAATATTTCGGTATATTTCCAAGCCTCTCACCCATTAGTTGACAACGACATGGTTTGAATTAGCCCACGAGGCCAAAATAGTATTATTACGTCTGGGTGTAGCGGTACCACATATGTGAGAAACGATCCGCCAGATGAACAAAAATGAAGCGATCCGAATTATTTGCCACAGACCCGTGAAATAATCAAAGGCCGTTGGGCTCTAAACCACGAACGAAACTGTCGCCATTGGCTCAACAACCCAAATTTGTACAGTCAGAAGTTCGACCAGTCGGTCCAGTTCAACCTGTCATCACTTGTGTCTATAAAACGTTTTCCCATACGAGTTGAGCCCACTGATGAGGGGTGTATACTAAACGATGTAAGAATGAGAGGGAAATCTGCCAGTGCCTAAATGTGACATTCTGATGAATAAATCGAATTCAGCAACTTTGTAGTTACATAACCGCATATTACTATAATTATGATACATCGTCCACAAGAGAGAATTTACCTTAACATACTGTTCGTTAATCTATCTTCTAATGTTTTTTAGATCCCTGTTTAGGTTACATGTTTTGCTCAAATGAGGACATCAAGTGGAGAGCTTATGTGATGACTGTTTATCGTAATGACCTGCAACTAAACCCACGAGCCTGGAAAGCCGAACAACATGAGACACTAATGATACCTTCCGGAAAGTAGCGCTAAACGAGCGATTGCACTTTGGACGTCGTATGAACAGCACTGAATAGTAGAGCTCTAAATGAACGAACCGGTTGTCACAATTCCGACTCCATTCACATGCTAGGTAAAATGGGAACAGAGAAGTTCACCTGTATCAAAGGGGATCGTCAGTGCCATTACCAGTGCATTCGTTTGTGTGGAATTTGTTCAAATTCTTTGGAGAGACACTGCTTTTATTTGCAAAAACGAATGCCCAGAGTAATGACATAACACATCGCCAGTGGAACACCAAGAACAGACTACAGGACACTTGACCAAAACAAACAGGTCACCATACACAGGAAACAGGTTCAACCTTTGCGGGAAAAGTTATCACCAGTAAATGCTTTGACTGACAGGCTTCGTTCTAATTGCCGTTTCGCATTAGGTTAGGTTATTTTGGCAATATGACCTATACGTAAAAAATACACATATTAGATAATTTAGTTTCAATGCGCGACTCAACTGAATCCTAATTGAATCGCTCGTTTATGATATTCTTCAACTTAGTGTGCTGTAGGAAGGTCACCTCGTGTTTCAGTTAATAGAATATTCGGAGGGTCACAGACGGAACACACTACTCATAGGGTGTGCCTTTCTGCATCACATTTAGTTGAACGAAAGATTCAGCCGAATCTCCTGTAAACACTTGATCAGTTTGCAAATGAGGGTAGCTCGCGAATTCGGGTTCAAATAGGACACTAGGTTAACGGAAACTCTAAAACTGCGCCTACTTGATGAGCTCCGAGAATGGAGAAGCTGGTCGTGGGCTGTCACGATTCTCAGCAACCTTATGAGAACTGTGTGATGATAATGACGATGAGTGGTGTATTCCGTATATACGATGTGATCTAATGTTTCGTGTTGCAGAATTTCTGCTCGATAAAATACTTTACTCAATGAATGTATTTTGCATGAGTCCGTTCAACAAGACAGGATAGGGCGTGGAAATTGACCTGCTGCAGATTCACATCAGTCCTCGTTTTGCAAGGCATCTGTGCCGGGATAACCGCTGAACACCTCGAAAAAATAGCGAACGCCTAAATACATCACGTCCTATCTGTCGTTAGGAAACAAACTTGCACCTAGAATGCGCTTGGGGTATTAATGGACACCAAGAGTAACTAACTAGAAACTAATAACGTATACCTACCTTGAAGAAGTTATGATACATGTAATAATGATACGATTCCGGATGATTTTGAGGCAAGCCAACATACTCATCCATATTGAACGTTTTGACGTAGCGAAAACTGAGCTGTCCAGCCTTGTAGAATTCCACCAACCGCTTGTACATGTTCAATGGTGTAGAACCAGTGGGCAACCCCAGCACAAAATAACGCGTTTCCGATGGAGAAAATTCAAGAATACGTTTCATCACGTATTTGGCACACCAATCAGCCACTTCGTCCGGGGTGTCAAGGATTAAAAGACGCATGACGGTGGTGAACTTAGAAATGATTCCAGCCTACTCAGTCAGGGATGGGGGCTAAAACTGTAAATGAACACTCGTTAAGCGTCTGACAAAGTATATCTGAGCCGAGAGTGGAATTGTTCCTCCTTAGAAAAATATCCTATATTGGGAAATTAGGCCAAGTATTCTTTGAACTTGGCATTTCGTGAAACAGATAATTGACGCAAAACCGTCTTCTAACACGCAAATAGAGAAGTGAGTTACTCGAAGACAATAGTGGAACTTAATATAGAGCAAAGAGCACCATCCTGATCGTCAAAGCTTAGTGGGAGCAGCCGATAAACCGCGTTTGGATTCGAACCATGGGCCTTCAGGTTGATAGGTTCGCGCCTTAAGCACCGAGGTACCTCAATTTCAGGGTTTCCGGACGTATTCTGGAAAGTCTGGGATCAGTCGCTCATCGCGCCCACATTCAAAAAGGCAACCGAAGCAAAGGTTTTAACAATGGGGGTCGCACGCCTGTCGTAACATGGTTATTGGCTTCCCGCATTTGCGATGCCCATGTGCTACACAGGAAACACAAGTCCAAAAGATTTAAGCAGGGCTTTAAACTCCGAAATAGTCATATTTCATATCACGTCAGGTGCTTCAACGTAGCCACTTATACCTCTGGGCAACAATCACGGTACCCGTCAAATTTAAAGGAGCCCTAGACTCTCTGAATAGATTAGCTATCCTAAATATTATTGTCCAGACGGGGATACCCTTGAGTTTCATGAACATTCTTCACATCCTTTATTCTCAGACGTCCGGTCAGGTTCAGGTGCACAAGGAACTGGTCAGAAACTTCCTGGGATGCGGCAGCGCTTTCCCCCCTCACATTTATCATAATCTTAATCGCCAACGTTCCCGGGCAGGGCATCCAGTCAGCATCATGCGATCTAGACCGGGCTACTAGTATCTCAAGGCCATAGGGGGCCTATGTCAGGATGGTATAAAAACCAGTGCAGAGCTATAAATGGCCATTCCTCACTTATTCCGCTTGTGGTCCAGGTGTCCACGATATGCCAAATGCGACTGCTACGGTATAGACCGCGGTGAGGCCGGTTTCTATTCTGCTGAAGCCAATTAGCTCCTTCAGTGGAGCGGTGTCAAGTAAGATGGTGTTGTGGTATAATGTCTTGCAGGTCGAGAGAGTATACATTCAGATGAACACAACATAACTAGACAGATGGAGTACTTTCCCGGTCATGAGTGTGGTTCCTTCGCGGAATTTGAGTGCAAACTGCGAGAATTCCAACGTGGAACGGGCACGTGTCATGCCCGCCGGCACAGTTTATCGGTGTCAAAATATGAACAGAATGTGGGTGAAGTACTCGCACCGTCCGTCTGTTATGCGTACCTGGTATACAAATGCGCGTTCACACTGGAACGTCAATAAAACGAGTCGTCGGTATGTTGATTATCGTCTGCACAATCATCCAATAAACTTATGTTCGGATACGCTGATTTCGACTGCCGATTGCTCATGTGTGTCGTTCACCGTGACGGTTGCATTGTACTCGTCAGTTTTAACACACAACATTCGCATGATCTGCGTACGTCTGACTGGTAAGTGTATCCTGCAAACCGGCATTTAAGTGCCCAGCAGGAACGCGTGGAATTTGGTTTGTTGAGGCGTTTTAAGTCCTCCATGGAAATCCGCGACTATGTCAGGAAAAACTATGGAATAGACTTGACAGGTGATGTGCGGGTCCTGGGCAATAAACTGTACCGCTTGGATTATCTGCGGGGTATCCGAGAGGTGTTGCGCTCATTTGGACCCATGGCTGTGTCTGTTTGCGACGATGGTAGTTTGAATGTTTTGTGGTCTAGTTCTGTACGCCTGCGTGGTTTGTTTGCGAAGTACGGTTATGTAATTCAGGCAGATTCGACGTGTCAGTGTAACAGAGGTGGTGGAAACCTGTGGCATGTGGTAATCACCGATCGTAACGGTGTTGGTCGGAGTGTGTTCTAATTCTTTATCCGAAATAAGTCACAGGAATGTAGTGATGTTGCTGTGGAACATTTTGTGGGAATGATGTACCCGGTGAATGTTGTTCGAACGATTGTGGTAGATGAGAATAAGTCACAGTTGTGTAGCCTGAAGGCAGCGATGCCTAACGCCGCTGTTGTGTTTGTTCTTTTCCAGCATTACAAGGCTTCAAAGCTAGGATTAGTAAGCTTATGGAAGTGACTCATTCCGCTAAATAAATTTTGTTTGCCCGGTCTAAGAGAATGGTGCATTGTAGGGAAGTGAGCGAGTTTGAGTTCTATGCCACTAGTATCAGAAGCCGGAACAAGACTTACTGGTCGCAGCTCAGCGAGCATTGGTTAACCGACCTGAGCACCTGGGCAAAGCATACTCGGAAGCATGCTGTGACCCCTCTAATGAAACAACTAACCGGGTCGAACCTGCAAACAGGTAAATTAAGTGGAAACTTACTGAGTCTTCCTTGTTGCTCACCTGTGTTCAGGTCATAATCAACAGGAATGAGCAATTAGTAGCCAAGTACAGGATACCAGTAAGCGTCCCACTTGTGCGTGGCCGACCGCCTAAGCTAAGCGTTGCTCGAAATATCTCATCGGATGTTTGCGAGACAATTGTCGGCCTGGGTTAGTCTGATTTCCATGCTTGCTGTCGCTTTCCGTGCAGGTCGTGTGCCAAGCTGCGTGTTATCCACAGGTGTCACAGGCGCATCAAGGGTACAAATGCGGAACACGTTTTCGATGATTCTGTAATTTGTTTGCAATCAGTCATAATAAAATTATGCTTCCCAGCAAATGGCTTCATATTTCCTGACAACGCAAGCGTCACGGCAACCAAGGCATCCGAGCCTTGCGTTGAAGATAAACTTGCGTAGGTGAGAAAAGGGGGTGTAGTTTTCCTGCTTCGCATGTACCTTCAAGGGCCTCTAGGACAATGTAGGATCGCCTCTAGCAGCATGTGTTTAATAATGTGGGCAGGAGCCCCGCAGCCTACATGTGGCTGAAGCACTTTCTATGCTTCTCAGGTGCTCCACTTTACAAGTGTTATTCGCAAACCGAAACTTCGTTACCGGCTCTCACTTGGAATGTTCTGCCCGTGTCCGGAGGCCAGACGCCCCTGATAACCGAACAGAACGCTCCGGAAGCATCAAAGGACTGTGATTCTCCGAAGGCAGCTGTTCACAACAATTTTCGTGGGTGAGAAACAGATAGAAATCCAGTAACCAAGTTCGTGTACCACCAATACTTACATGCAAATCAATCAAACTGGCAGACACCGTATGCTACGCTTGGATGCACGTGTAACGTGCGGGTTGGGAACAAAAGCCATGCTCTGGTTGGTCAGAATGCCAGCCAATCTGGATGGAGCACGGGCTTACTGGCTCCCGGACTCACGTAGTGATACACAGGATCGAGGCTTTTGCCCAATTTACCCGGGTCGGTTTTGTTCTTGTCGTTCAGCGGTTCCCGTTCACCTGAAAAGCATAAGTGACAAACGGGTGTGGCACTGCCCTTAACGTTCTTAGCGTGGTGCAGTAAGCTTGCCAACGCGAGGACTCGCATAAAATAGGTGTCCAATAGTGCTTTGAACTGGGTTCTGGATGGAGCGTGGACAGCTGTCGGAGGAAGGTTATTCAACGCGGCAACTACCCGAAGTAAGAAACAATTTGCCTAATTAAGGTGCGCGCTCTGAACCTAAAATTCTTCTTACCATGTCCCCGTCATATGCCTGCTGGGGCCACGGTGAAATACCTGATCGCCAAACCTAGTTCAAACGGGGCATAAGTAAGTATAAGGTCTCCTCAGAGGCGACGATACTCCAGAGGAAAGAAGTCCAAGCAACGCGATATGCGTTCCATGGTCTACGGATTTTAGGCCGGCAATCCTTTTCGTATCTTCTCGCTGGACACGCTCAATGAGGTTTATTTCCTTCTTGCATCCTTAGTAGAAAACTTGGTTGGCATATTCAAAAATCGGTCTGATGTGAGTGTTACAGGGTATTCTGAAGTTCATGTGGATAATTCGGGTGTGCTGATTCATCCGTAGAACGGAAAAGTCTTTTTGGGCCGATTGCTCATGGTACATCAAGAAGGATGTGTCTGAAGAAAACCAGATGACCAAATCCTCTCTGGCATCAATCCGCGTGAAGTATTCTGGTCCATCCTCACCATTCACGTTCTCTGAGTCTCCTACGAATGACGCATGGACGTTTTTCTCGTCATTCAGAGGAAGATGCCTGTCAACGGCCCCTGCTTTGCAGCGTCTACATCCTTTTGGAGGGCACTGGCATTAGTACTCCAGGATTACAAGTGTACATTGACTTGCAAGAACATCCGGAAGGTCATCGATCTATATCAGAAACGGCGGTGGTCCCGAAATGGTGCCTTCAGGAACGCCATGGAGAATAGTTTGGGAGAAAAGAAGGTTGAGCCTGCTTCCACCCGGTCTGACTGGAATATCTTGATCCAGTGTAGGAGTTCCCTTAAATATCGAGTTTGTGGAGAAGCAGGACGTGTGGAATTCGATCGAATGCCTCTCAAATGTCTATATATGGGATGCGACATGAGTCCTTCATCCTCTTCTTGGGTTCAGATGTCCATCAATACGAGCATTTTCGTGCCGCAAGAACGGTTCGGGAGAAATCCGGGCCGGACTGGAGATAGCAAGTTAGTAGTAGTAGGGTGGTCTGGGACCATCCGTTTCAGAATGCGTTCAATCACCGTGCATGGCATGCTAGTGAAGCTATATGCCAGTAGCTGCCGGGTGGCAGTCGGTCACCAGTTTTGCGGATTGGCATGACAATCGCTTCCATGCAAGTAGATGGAAGGTAACCTTTATCAAGCGACTGAAGAAACACCAGGGGAACATGGGACGGAGCCCATCTGGCACCAACGCTGACAACGGGCTGATCTTGTGCAGGAGTTGATGAATGCCCCGTATAAATACCAAGAGAAGCCGTTCGAAGTTACGCCTTCACAAGATTGGATGTGACAAAAACGCTGGGGTTGAATAAAGTCCTGAATAGTGTTTGTTGGTTACCATCCCTTGAAATTTTACC